AACCAATAGTCTTCCATTTGCAATATGCTATGATATGAAAGGAGGTAAAATGTCCATGTGTTGATTCCCTACAACCAATAGTCTTCCATTTGCAATATGCTATGATATGAAAGGAGGTAAAATGTCCATATGTTGATTCCCTACAACCAATAGTCTTCCATTTGCAATATGCTATGATATGAAAGGAGGTAAAATGTCCACGTGTTGATTCCCTACAACCAATAGTCTTCCATTTGCAATATGCTATGATGATGAAAGGAGGTAAAATGTCCATGTGTCGATTCCTACAACCAATAGTCTTCCATTTGCAATATGCTATGATATGAAAGGAGGTAAAATGTCCATGTGTTGATTCCCTACAACCAATAATCTTCCATTTGCAATATGCTATGATATGAAAGGAGGTAAAATGTCCATGTGTCGATTCCCTACAACCAATAGTCTTCCATTTGCAATATGCTATGATATGAAAGGAGGTAAAATGTCCATGTGTCGATTCCCTACAACCAATAATCTTCCATTTGCAATATGCTATGATATGAAAGGAGGTAAAATGTCCATGTGTTGATTCCCTACAACCAATAGTCTTCCATTTGCAATATGCTATGATATGAAAGGAGGTAAAATGTCCATGTGTCGATTCCCTACAACCAATAGTCTTCCATTTGCAATATGCTATGATATGAAAGGAGGTAAAATGTCCATGTGTAGATTCCCTACAACCAATAGTCTTCCATTTGCAATATGCTATGATATGAAAGGAGTAACAATGTCCATGTGTCGATACAACCAATAGTCTTCCATTTGCAATATGCTATGATATGAAAGGAGGTAAAATGTCCACGTGTAGATTCCCTACAACCAATAGTCTTCCATTTGCAATATGCTATGATATGAAAGGAGTAACAATGTCCATGTGTCGATTCCCTACAACCAATAGTCTTCCATTTGCAATATGCTATGATATGAAAGGAGGTAAAATGTCCAAGTGTCGATTCCCTACAACCAATAATCTGCCATTGGTGATATGATAGGGCATCAGAATGGAATGTTCACAAAAACAATGTAATTAATTTACTTTGTCTAGATTAAAGTTGTGATATGAGCGAGTAGAAGTTTCCAGCAATTGAAGTGAGTGAATTGTGTTTAACAAAACTTTGAATGTGAGTGGAACCTTTATGTCGAATCAGCATTGTTTCAGCCACATAGGGATCAACAGTTCAAACTGTATATGAACAAATCTTATGACGTATCAGATTAACTATATTACAACAGAAATATGTGTTCTTTCTTAAGTAGTATATTAATATGTTAGCTGGATGACCACAGATTTGTACTAAACATTTAATAAAATAGTGTTTTTTTCCAAATTTATCAGACTAAATCTAAATTTGTCTACATAGTATTACCACTAGGGATAACAATGACTTAATTTTAAATTTACTTTCCAATCCTGTATGTTTCAGTGATACCAACAGATAAAAAGGCAACCATAATCCAGAGGGAATGTTTACGACATAATTCCCTAAAATAATTAGGCCATGCCCATTAATGGACCAATGTTTCCTGACTGGACAAAACATGGGCGAGGCTTGTGCTGCATTACTGCACTGGACAATGTCCACTTAGTTTTCACTGATGTCAAACATTGTAAGTGGGTTCCTGATTAAATAAGCAATATAAGTTAGTATTTACCTATAAAGTAACACTTTTTTAAAATGAAATTATAAATCTAATAAACAATGTGTAAACTTTGTGTAAACATAGATTTAAATATGCACACAGGGTTTGACAGGGTTATAACAGCAAATGCAAAAGAAAAACCATCCAGTTCTAGTACATGCATTCTAATTCTAGCTTGTATAAAAAACATCATAACCATAATTCACTAAAGAAAACTGCTCCCAATTATTTTAATATGGCCTGTTGTCATAGTAAAGTACACAGAATTTTTTTATATTTATTTATTCATTTTTTATTTACCATTTTTTTACTTGTTTATAGGTACAGTACATGTCGTACAAAGTACACAGAATTAGTTTGATAGTCACAGGCCATAGTTAACGCATATCTTGTTTCATAAATTTAGTCATGGTTGGGTGAAGAGGAAAGGGAACAAGGAAATAGAGAAAACAATTCTTGATATTATTTCAAATGTTTAAAAAAGTCAATTGATTACCATGTGTGCATTATTAGTTCAGCTGGTACTGCTATTTACCTCCTAAACCTCTTTGCCTTGAAATCTGATCACTACTAAGCACAAACATTGTAGAAGTATGCATGCATTTGCATTCAGCTTATAAAGAAAAGGTATCTTCATCGTTTTTGTCTTATGTTTATCTGTAAGTGCCAGCAGAATCTTTCATGTTACATTTTTAAAGTCTCAGCTTCTGTAAAGTATGATATCCGTTTTTGTAATTGAACATCTTTTGGATCTGTTCTTTGAATGATGTGATCTATTTTAGCTGGTAACCCTGCTGTGAGTGCTGTCTTAAACATATAATCCAAGTACATTCTGATGTGATAAATGGCACAATTATGTAACATGGTTCTTTAAAACAAAACAGAAAAACTCCAGTCTCCCTCCTTTGTCCAAAGACAACAAAACAACCTGTAGGACAAAAGGTATCATAGCCTGTTCTAGGAACTGAGTAGGCGTGTAATGAAATGCAGAATAATTACCACAAGTCTGCTCAATAAACAATGCTGCAAATCACCACTAAGTAATTGCATTCCAGGATCCAAAGCCATTTTCCTCAAAATACCTCACAAACTTGCGTCAGTTCTAAAGAAAACATCATCACATGCAATTTCATAATTCTAAAATCATTACATGCTCTGACTCTGATTACATGATTACATAATTGATTACATCCTAATGGAGTCAAAATGGAACTACTGTTCATAAATTCTGCTGTCATGACATTAAATAAAGCTTGAAGAATAATTAAGAGGGTTTAATCAACTCGTCCTATGTAAATAGCACTGTGTTACTACAAATATTCAGTGCTATGGTCGAAATTTTATAAAAGCCAGCCATTACAGGTAATAAAAAGCGACCAACACCATTACCATAATCACAAGAAATCTCTACTAAAACCAGAACCCATTGTAAGATTCTGTCTGTATCATAAGCATGTGTTTTAGAATCACAATCAAATAGGGATCAAAGGAAACATCAAATCTTCAAGCATGACCTTATCAATCCCATAGCAAGAGTAGAAAGCATACAATATAATTATTTTCTTTTAATCAAGCTGCTTTATAAAATCCACATATCTGAGTGATGCTAATGTAAGCCTACTTATGCTGATTCAGCTAATTTTACTATACCATGGTAAATGTTAATGCATACTGCATGTATATACAAAAACATGAATATTTAATATTGACAAACTTAATGCAAATAAGACGTCAATTCACTTAAGAACTAACATTTTTCTGTTGTGACAGTTTGTTTTTTATTTACTAAACATGCATAAAAAAAATCAAAAACATTTGTTTACTGTATTTATAAGGAAGAAATGCTGGTTTTAAGTTATATTACATCTTCTGATTGTCTAAAATGCCTTTCTCATCTAACATGTTGCAAGAAAAGAGCCATCTTGAATTATATATCTCACCGACCCTTCTAAATCCCCACAAGATAGATAACATAATGGTCAGGGCCTAGATTTTCAAAGCTCTCTTAGCGCTAAGATAGTTGTTAGTGCCATAGATTTTCAAAGCTCTCTCTTAGCTAACCATTATGATAGTTGTTAGTGCCAATATTCCAGCAATATCATTAACTTACAATTACTTGGAAGACACATGTATAAGAGGTATAGGTTGTTGCTGTGCAAAACAACCTTCATGACATGACTAAGTCTGTGTTTAAAGTATCTTTCGATCACTAGCGCTAAGAGATCTTCGAAAATGTAGGCCCTGACCACTGTGTACTTCGAAGACACATGTATAAGAGGTATACGTTGTTGCTGTTCAAAACAACCTTTATGACATGACTGTCGCAAGTCTGTGTTTAAAGTACATGTATGGGAGTTTCGATCACCTTAGTGCTAAGATGACTCTATGCAATGGCACCCCAACCTTACGATATGTGCTGACTGACTCACTCTGACAACACATGTACTTGGGGTATGGCACTTACAATGTACTTTCACACTCTCATTCACATATTTAAAAGAACATGATTTTTGTTTTTTTAAATATCATTACATAATCTATGATACTATTTCACCAAAAGTGAAAATCTCGTGAAAAATTCAGTGTGAAGGTCAAAACAACTGAGCTAAAAATACTTCCCACCTCACCCATGCATAGATGCCAGAAGGTGCAGAATACTATATCCCCCAAGACAAGTTATTAGAGAGCCTGCAGTGACAAGGAGCATCTGTTGAACAACCTGAGATGATGAAATTCTTCAAAGGCATTTTAAGAGTTGGTGTAGTAATACAAGACAAATCTTATGGATAACAACTTCTTGATTTATTTTACACAATGTTTCTGGGCTAGTTCTTGCCCCTTCTTCAGGTGGATAATGGTGATAGTGAACAGTACGGTATATATATAGATGTACAGGAAGCCAGATATGTGAATATGTATATACAAGTGCAAGGGGAAGGAGATATAACATACCCTATCATTGTATTCTTCTCTTTCATCTCACTGCATTGTTTGTACATACTTAATTATATCTCCTTCCCCCCTTGCACTTGTGTAAAATAAATCAAGAAGTTGTTATCCATAAGATTTGTCTTGTATAACCTGAAATGATATAATATGAGGACAGCGAAAATGCAGGATTTATTGGCTATGATGTAAATGAGGCTATGTATTCAAATGAACTATTGCAATTATTTGACTTTTTTTTGGCTAACAAAAGCAAATTGTTTACTGAAATTACATGCTATATTGCAGCCCTCCTTTTATGGAAAGCTGTATCTTCTGTGCTTGAGTCTCTTGTGCTGAAAGAAACAAAAAGATGACGAGATTGTACTCACCCTCAGTGGTACCAGAGGTGCCTTTATGGAAGAGTGGACCGTTTGGAGAGATTAGCTTCGTCTGATTATAAAATTGGAAGAAATATGGCTGAGGAACATGTGGTCGGCGTATCGGCACTGTTTGGGGGCGCCCAGTGGTTCTTGGAAGGGGGAAATCTGTGATTATTTCAGCCTGGTTTGGGTTCCGGTAACTCCTGAAAAGTGAGTGAGTGAGTGTGAGTGTTGACTGTGTTGATGGAGGACCATATCTGATAATCTGCAGATTCAATACAGTTTATCGGTAACAGAATATTACCGGGTAGGTTTCTCAGAGAAAGTAAAGTTTGAAGACCTGTGTGGGGAAATTATTGCAAGGTACTGTGCACTAAACAAGTTCTACAGACAATCTTGCAGTGTGACAGACACGTTGCCTAACTGGACTTGTACTGGGGACAGATCCATTGATCCACCAAATGCAGAATCAAAAGTTGGATGGTCACCCATATCTAATCTTTCTTCTTCCCTCAGTCACCATAGGAGGAGTGATGACTTATTTCTCTCATTCAATATCAGAAAAGTGATGGCTTATAATTTCTCTTATTCAATATCATTATAGTTATGTCTTATTTCTCTCCTTCACCATCATAAGAGTGATGGCTTATTTCTCTCATTCAATATCAGAAAAGTGATGGCTTATAATTTCTCTTATTCAATATCATTAGAGTGATGGCTTATTTCTCTTATTCACCATCATTAGAGTGATGGCTTATTTCTCTTATTCACCATTATAAGAGTGATGGCTTATTTCTCTCATTCAATATCATAAGAGCGATGGCTTATTTCTCTCATTCAATATCATTTGAGTTATGGATTATTTCTTTCATTCAATATCATAAAGGTGAATTTCTCTCATTCAAATAAGAGTGATGGCTTATTTCTCTCATTCATAAGAGTCATGGCTTATTTCTCTCCCTTCATCATAAGAGTGATGGCTTATTTCTCTCATTCATTCACCATCATAAGAGTGATGGCTTATTTCTCTCATTCAATATCATAAGGGTGATGGCTTATTCAATATCTCTTATTCATTCACCATCATAAGAGTCATGGCTTATTTCTCTCATTCACCATCATCATATTTCTCTTATTCACCATTATAAGAGTGATAGCTTATTTCTCCTTATTCAATATCGGCTTATTTCTCTCATTCAATATCATAAGGGTGATGGCTTATTTCTCTCATTCAATATCATAAGAGTCATGGCTTATTTCTCTCATTCAATTCTCTCATTCACCATCATAAGAGTCATGGCTTATTTCTCTCATTCACCATCATAAGAGTCATGGCTTATTTCTCTCATTCACCATCATAAGAGAGTCATGGCTTATTTCTCTTCATTCACCATCATAAGAGTCATGGCTTATTTCTCTCATTCATTCATAAGAGTCATGGCTTATTTCTTTCATTCACCATCATAAGTCATGGCTTATTTCTCTCATTCACCATCATAAGAGCGATGGCTTATTTCTCTCATTCAATATCATTAGAGTGATGGCTTATTTCTCTCATTCAATATCATAAGGGTGATGGCTTATTTCTCTCATTCAATATCATAAGGGTGATGGCTTATTTCTCTCATTCAATATCATTAGAGTGATGGCTTATTTCTCTTATTCACCATCATAAGAGTCATGGCTTATTTCTCTCATTCACCATCATAAGAGTGATGGCTTATTTCTCTTATTCACCATCATAAGAGTGATGGCTTATTTCTCTCATTCAATATCATTAGAGTGATGGCTTATTTCTCTCATTCAATATCATAAGGGTGATGGCTTATTTCTCTAATTCAATATCATAAGAGTGATGGCTTATATCTCTCATTCAATATCATAAGAGTGATGGCTTATTTCTTTCATTCACCATCATAACAGTCACGGCTTACTTTTCTCATTCACCACTGCGAGGTGCACCAACAAGTGTGTCACTTTTCCAGCTCATTCACCCCAAAGTGTATGGACAGTTGTATCACTTACCCCATTCACTTCACACGCTCCTTCATTCACCATCTCTAACTGTGCCACAAGGCATCAACGGTCCTGTTACTTCCATTACACAGGTAAGTGCGATATATTCTGAGTCTGCTCCCATTGAGTGTTCTACCAGTGTAATGGTTCTCCATTATTTCAGCTGTGTCAACAACATAAGTCAGGCAGGGTCTGCCCTTCCATACGTTTCTACATTACCCAACAAGGGTCACGCAACACTCACATTTTGTTCGTTATGTTGTTGCAGTTATCTCCTTAACCTGTCAAACACACACACATACATCTTTCATACACACAACCTTCTCGGTACCTTGTTACAGCATTTACTTCACACAAATTACACACAATGTTAGACACACAAAATTGTTTTGCAATTTGAGACAACATGGTTCGCAGAAGGGAACAGAAATCACAGACAAATATCTCAGATTTAATTCACATGTTCAGGTATATTACAAAGAATACACATTGAATGTACCTTATAGCATGAGCATGGAATATAGTTGATTCTGACAGGTCAGTACTTGGTCAACTGAACCTTTGGTGGAAAACATGTTTTGATCATCACCATGGAAACTACCTCTTTCTCAGTAATTGTCTATAGGCATTTAAAAATAATAATATGTACAAACACAGATTATAAAATGAACATGTGTTGTTACAATTCTCTTCAAAGAGAGTGTGGTAATACATTTTGGTCTGAAACATGACATAGAAATACATTGAGAGGGTGACTTTCAATCTGTAGGGATCAGCAAGGGCTTAAGATTTTGTGCTTTTCAAAACTTGAATGCGATGTGATATTTTCAGCATCGTGATGTGCCACAGTGAAATGTGATGTCAATCAAATGGTGGGAGGTTCTACTTCATTTTGGTTTACAAAGTACAATATCCTTACACCACTCATACAAACTGCTTGACACTTTCAAAGACCACTGGTATATGCATGTGACATGTAATATCTATGTTTGGCTCAATACAGCACCATATTTTGTTCAATGTCTCAAATTACATTTGAACAGAACAACCTCCATTGTCATTTTGTATATTTCACCTTTCTGACAGTACTTCTGAGGATCAAACCTAAAAAAGGATATGGCAATTTGTTTGGCATGTGTGAGTTTGCATAACAAATATCTTGAAACAAAATGAAAAAGGCTTTAATTTCAGGCAGACAAACACGGTGACATCACCCAAAGCAGAACACCTCAAGATATACTGTACATATATGGCTATACTCTGCATCCTAGCCTCTTGGACTTCTTCATGTCCTGTATGTGGTAGCGAGGTAGCCTAGTGGTTAGAGTGTTCGCACATCATACCGAAGACCGGGTTTGATTCCATAAATAGATACAGTGTGTGATACATTTCAGGTGTCCCCACCTGTTATTGGTGGAACATCCCTAACAGCAGATTATTACCATACTCACTCACTCACTCATGGTATACCCCAGCAAATTCTGCAAGGTGGTTCAATACCGAAAAGATCAACATCAGTAAGATTTCCATCTTTTGGGATCCGATGTTTTGTATGTCAGTCCCTGACTATGAAACCCATGGGAGAGTGGCCCTAAGGCCTGAGAGTTTTGTCTAAGATAAATTATTAATGTCATCATTTTTTAAAACAGACTAACTCACCTCAATTGAGAGCACAGTCTTTCAGGCATCCAAGTATTCTAGAAATGCTTCATTTTTACTTCACAATTCTTTTATTCCACATTTTTCAGACCTTTTTCAGAACCAGATCACATATCTTATGCTGCAAGCTGGACATGCTCAAATATACTGCACACCATTTTCCTGTATTCTTTATCTGCTGCTACGTTCTACCATATTGCTCAACAAACCCATAAAAACACCAAAACAAATTGTTTTTGGCCCCAACCTTTTTGTAATTTGTGTGAATACATGCTGTAGCAAGGCATCCCATTCCATGTTTCACAGTATGGCTGTTTAATGAGCATACGGCGGCACCTCAACAAGAAGGGTATGATAATGTTCTAGAAGCACTGACAGCTCATGACTAAGAAAGATGGAATAGGATTCAGCTGGAACAAAAACCCATCAATTACCCAGTCCCAGTGCCAAACTAACCAAACTAAGAGCTGATGAGACAAATGCGAAGTTATTTAAAGGAAAAGTGTCTATATGTGGTTCAGCTCAGTTCAAATAATGCAGGTGCAGAGCCTGGGCGTGATCACTTTCAAATCATTGGGATTATGTTCTTTTGACGTTAGATCTTAATATCGGTTTATTTTATGGCAGTTTGTACTTAGGGAACTAACTCAATTATTCTACTCCTGAAAGAATTTTCTATTATTTCTGGTTTTATAATATCATGGAATTCTGGAAATAGGAAAAGAGGATTTGTCAGCAGTTGCATCAAAGGGAGAGAAATCCATCAGTTTAGTCCTCTGATGGATCTGCAATCTCTGGGGATTTCACTGTGGGACATCAGTGATAGAACATTGTAGAAATACCTACATTTGTCTGTCAGGTTCTTCTGGGTTTGAATCCTTGAGTCGTCCTGGTTACGAGTCATGGTTTGTTAGTGCCAAATTTAAAAGTTAAATATGAGTAACAAAACTCTTTCCTCATCCACAAGAAATCTCTGCTAAAAATAAAGTCGATTGTACAGTTTTGAATATCATGAGTATGTGTTTCTAAATCATTAAAAAATAATTTAAATAGTGGTGATACCAGGTGGTCGCACAGGTGTTCATGAGAAGGTCAGTGTATTCTGTCCCACCGGTGGCACCTGTGCTCCAAATCAGTTCCCTATTCACGACCTGTTTCATGTTTGTCGTACTATTCACAGGGTGGTGGGGTTACTAAGCCTTGTGATTAAAGGGTTCGCTTGTCATGCCAAAGACCTGGGTTTGATTCCCCACATAGGTACAATGTGTGAAGCCCATTTCTGGTGTCCCCCACTGTGATATTACTGGAATATCGGTAAAAGCTGCATAAAACTAAACTCACTCACTCATACTATTCACCTGAAGCTGAAAATTTTGTTCACACGCACCTAATAACTGTTCTTTGCAAAATTCCAAAATTCTTAAAAAGGCCTCAGCACATCCCATACCACTACATACAATGTGATACCATAGGCATCTTTTCAAATAAGGTTAGGGGCGGTAGGGTAGCCTAGTGGTTAAAGCGTTGA